AAGTTTTTTACATTATATAAGATTACATAATACAAAATATACAACTTATTCTAATGTTTGTTAGAAAAGATGAGACTCGGACTGACTCATGAGAGACGGGCTCGTAACCTACCGCCTACTTGTGTTACTATATATACCATATTATTATTATTATTATTATTATTATTTTCATCTGAAAATTTAGTAAAATCTAATATTTCTTCAACTTGTAAATTCTTTCCATTATTATTTGTAAAATTATAATTATCAGTTAATTTAATAATCTAGATCCTCTGAAAATAATAAAAACTTGATTCAACTACTTGAAAACTAGTAGAAATAATAAAACAAACAAAGTATTACCTACCTTTAGTTTTATAAATTTCTCTTAAAGCTTGAATGGGAAAACTACTTATAGTTACACAATCGTATTAGATTTGAATTTATCATATCTGTTATATAATAAACAATAAATTAATATTATAGAAAATAATTTTTTTTGCGAACAAAATGCCATACACTTATTTTTAAACAGCTGATCTCAAAAGTAAAGGTCTTTTATGCTAATTCTATATAGACGAAGTGTTCTTATTTAAATTGGTCCAGTATTGAGTTACATATTTTATTTTTATTTATAAATTTATTAAATCAAATTAACTTTATTAAATTGAAATTAACATGGTGGAAATTTAAAATACTTTCTTTTGGATATTTTAATATACAAAAATATGGTCTTTAGCTAAGGCTTCCTCAGAAAAAGGTGTTCCCTTTTTAAATGATCCAAAATTAAAGATATTAAGTCTTTCTTTTTTTTTGTTTTTTGAATTACCTCCAAAGGCCCAAAGTAACTATTTTAATTCATTCATTAAAAATATTTTAGAGAATTCATCCTCAACATTTTCTAAATGTACCCAAATTTGAATTTGCTCCAATCCAAGCATAGGATCCTTTGGAATATTGGATTTTTTTATTAATGCTGGTTTGTTTTCAATTTTTTTAATATCATTTTTCATAGTTTTAAGATTCTCTCGAAGACTTGAAGTTCCTTTTTTCAGGAGTAAGTTCATTAAACCTTCTCCAGGATTTTTGTCTACTCTTCATATAGATAGAAATAATTTGGCAGGTGCTGATAAGTCTACTTGGTAGATGGTGTCCAATCCCATGAGTTTGTTAAATTTATTTCTTTCTTCAAGTGCAAAATGTTTGATTATCGCCATGGCAATACCACGATCACCAATTATAGACTTTGTTATTAATTTTTCGTTGTTATCTCCTCTTATGAAAATAAAATTTCCCAATTATCATTGCAATCAGTCAAGAAGCACATCGAATTTGTAGGATGTTATGTATCCAATACGAATAACTCTCCCATGGCTTGACCTTCTTTAAAATCATCTTTTTTTTTCTTAATTTCAATCCAGACGCAATCCGTTTCATATATTCCAATGGATATGTTGGAACCACCCATTCGCATTGATTGGTCACTTGCTTATGGATATCGTTCACTTGAAAGTCACTTGGTAATTTTAGTGCATGTTCAAACCATGTTCTAACATTATGCATCTTTGATCTTTGCCCTTTTCCACGTCCCATATGAACGATTGACATGACATGGGTTGAAGTGATCGGAAGGCTTCCTCTGTTAACTAGACAATAGATAAGTAATAAATGAAGAAGACGCTAAATAATAATACAGAAAAAGAGAACCTACTTTTGCAGTCTTTATCTCAATATCATTCAGGATCTTAATAATCTTTTTATCAGAAAGACTAGATACATTGATCTACTTTTCCCTGGAAAGTTCTTCCCGCACTGCACTTTTTACGATATCGCTTAAATTTTCTGGTGATTCTTCATGTTTACGTTTTAACGTCACTTGTAATAAAAGAAAAAGCCAAAATTTATTAATGTCGCAAAAACGTAAAACAATTTTTATCCCGTTAATCATCACTTCTTTCCTGATAAACTTGAATACATACTAGGTACATTTACAATAACTTGTAGAGGAGTGTCATAAGTATTTACAAAACTTTGATCAACAGTTAAATCTGCACGCAAGTTTACTTCTTCATCGTGTCTTCTTAGGGTAATGCGGTCAAGGGGCACATCATCCAAGTCGGGTGACAATTTCTCCTTGATCGCTTCTATCAAATCGTTTACATCTCCATCGAAAACAATTTTCACTGGTTGGCTGTCACCATATTTGATCCAGATTTTGGAAGGGGATGACGAGGTGCCTATCTGAAGGCTCTCAAAACCTATTTTTTCGCAGATAGCAATTAATGACTTCTCCACAAAATAATACTTGTAATAAATTTACTTTACCACTGGACATAGATTGTTCCTTATTCAGGAGAGGAACATTTTCAATATTTTCGATTATTTCGGAATCTCTGCCCTGTGTGGGTGCACCAGATGTGCCAGATGTGTTGGCAACGGTAGGTGGGACGTCCTCTACGAAAGATAGTTTTTCATTAATTATAATGAATTCTTCGTAAACGATGCATGTACTCGTCGACATTATTACTTATGATTATTATATTCAACCAATTAAAATTCAAATTATTTTTTATCGATCAAATAAAAAAGATTGCTGCTACCCTTTAAGGTAAATTAAATTTATTAATATTCGATCATTATAAAATTTTCCCTCAAATTTCTGTTAACAAAAAATGACAACACCAACGTTAACGTTAACAGCAAAACAGATGATATATTGTGGGGGTAAAGTATAAACGTTAAATTTATTTTGTTAATTTTGTTAATCTAGGTTTATATATATATATGATTCTTACGAATTTTCTCAAACGATTAGTTTGCACGCTACCTCCAGAGGTAAGTTGGGAATATTCTTTTTTTTTTTTTTTTTCAATGAGAAAATATGATAATTTAAAATAAATAATTTTTTTTTTTTAAAAATAGTATTGTGAATTCGGACTAACACCCGATAAATGCAAGAAATGGGTACAAGAAAAGCACTCTGATTTATACGAAAATCTTTATTCTCAAAGTGAGAACATTATTATTTTTTTCATATATATATATATATATTTTGTATATTTTTTTAAAAAAATATTAAATTATATTTTTATTATATTATATTAATTCATACGATTATTGATCAGATGCACTTGCAGAAAAATTAGGAAAGACTACATTGGAGAGTAAACCAAGTAATGAAGCAGAAGATAGAAAGAAAGCAAAAGGTTTGAATATAGAATTTTATAAAATGTTATATATATATATATATATAATTATATTTTTATATGATTTAAAATCATTTTAATTTATAACAAATTTACAGAAGCTGCAAAAATAGAAAGAGAATTGCAGAAAAAAATGGTATTTGAAAATTTGAATTTCTATATGATATTATTGATGAAATTTTAATTTTTAATATTATTCAATTTTTAAATTTAAATTTAAATTTTTTATTATTATTAGGCGTCTAAGGTAATTATTACACGTATTGCACGAAATAAACGAAAATGTGTTACAAGCATTTATGGTTTAGAAAATTTTGGTAAATTTGGTTTTTCTAAAATATTGAATCCAAAGTAATATAAATAATAATTATTTTAATCATTTTATATTCTCTTTAAAGGTATTGATCTGAAGAAAGCATCAAAAACTTTTGCTACAAAATTTGCATGTGGTTCTTCAGTGGTTAAAAATAATCAAGGAAATGAAGAGATCGTGGTACAAGGGGATGTCTCGGATGATTTATATGATTTTATATTAGAAACTTGGCCAGATGTAATTATAAATTATTATTTATTCTTGTTTATTTATTTATTCACATTTATTCATATATTTTATTATATATATATATTATATATATATTATATATTATATATTATATTTTTTTTTCAAAAAAAAAAACAGGTTCCGGAAGAGAATGTTGAACTTACAGAAGAAAAGAAATCCAAAAAATAACATGTAATATTTTCTACCTAAATAGACAGTTTTAATTTTAATTTTTAATTTTATAATTTTATTTAAAAAAAAATAGGACTTGATAATTAATTTAATAATAAAAAAAAATAAATAGAGCATATAATAAAATAAAAGAAGAGAGGCTTGTATAACAATTTCTATTGCAAAATAATTTAATTTTTTTTTTTTTGATAAAGTTGGTAAAATTATGTGTCGGCGATAACGGTTAAAAGACAATTGTCGCTATCAATACCACTTCCATCCAAGGATTGTATCTAATTATAGCGCTTTTTTTTTTTAAAAAAAAATAAACTTAGCACATATATAATCATGCGTCATGATACGAAATTAACTATCATTATATTTTTTTTTTATAATTTGAATATAATCAATTTTGATTTTATTACACTTATTAATCTATTTAATAATATTTATTTCAATATAATCAATTTGATTATCAAGAAATTGAAATAAAATTACTTTTTTTTTTTTTTTGCAATCTCTTTGTAAAAATTTCAATATAATCAGTTTGATTTTATTACACTTATTAAGTTCTAATAGAAGATTTAAACATTATTACTTTTTAATATTCGTTGTAATTTTGGGAGAATGAAATAAAACATTATACACATTACACACGTGATAATTCTAAAATAATTATCAGATAAACTTAAAAAAAAAAATTTTTTTTTCCTTTTTTTTTTTTGATATGAAATGACTTCTAAAAGCCTTTCAAGACAAGAGTTGAAATCTCGATTTCAAACTTGGTTTGATAAATCAAATGAAAAACAAACCGCACGTTCATTAGAATATATCAAAATAAATGACCAAAAATCAAAAGTCAACAAAGTTAAACTTCCTTCAACAAATAAAGGATTAAAGAAACTTAAAGAAAAGTTAAAATATGAAAATCAGTTAAGAATTGAAGAAGGAAAGAGAAAGTTGAGTCGTGAAGGTAATTAAAATCAATTTTTTAAAGTCTAGATAATCCAGTTGTTATCATATAATCTTTAAAAATTACATTTAAATAAAATAGAACCTTTGGAAGAAGAAGAATCTAAGGAAACCAATTTATCACGAAATCTCAAATATTTCAATTTTACGGCGTAACTTCATCCAAGTTAAACTTTGAATAGTAAGTAAATAGTAATTATAAATGCAATACATAATATTTATATTTTTTATTGAATTTAATGACAAGTTTAAAATGATTGAAATATATAAAAAAAAATATTTTTTTTTAATAATAATTGATTGAAAATATTTTTTTTAATAATAATTGATTATATCACATTATAAAAATTAAAGGGATAAAAAAAAAAAACTAATGATAAAATAAAAATGATAATAATAATAATAATATCTATGTTTTTTAACAACAACTCTTCACACACGAAGGATCTAATTAATGATGATGGTTTATTTCTCTTTCCTCCGCAAATTTAATAGCATTGTATAACACATCAATCTTTCCTGAAGGAGTTTCAACCTTTCCGCTCAAAATTTCTTCAGCAGAAACTTGTTTCTCGTAGAATACATTATTTGCATCTTTACGTTCGATAATAATTGTACCTTCAAGGGAAACACCTGTTATATTAAGATATTAATTAGATATTAATTAAATATTAATAAGAGATTTTTAATTATATTTTTTAAATGCGAATATAAAGAAAGAAGATTAATATAAAGAAGGATTAAAAAAAAAAAATCTACCAGCAAATAAACCCTTGGACTTGCTGTATGAATAAAGAGGAGCGGCTTCAATGACACTTCCTGAAATCTCACCCCCAATATCAACAGGTCCAGCAATTACTATTTAAAATAATAAGAATAATTTTTTAATTTATGATAGATACTTAAAATTATCAAAAAAAAAAAATATTACAAAATCATTGTTTACCAGATAAACTTCCACCCAAAGTAAGATTTTCACCACGTGAAAATGCTTTGACTGCTTCTTTGGTATTTAAAATAATTACAAAGTCGGTGACATCAGCACCAATTTGTGCACCGAATCCTACACCACCAATATTGATGCAAGATGGAGGGGACCAACCTAAAAAGATTATTATTATTATTATTATTATTTTATGTTAGTGAACTAATAGAATATTTCATTGAACAATTAAAGGAGAAGTTAAACATTTTTTCATATATACTTACTTCCATTTTCAAGTCTACACAATAATGAAAATAGAAAAGAAATAGAATATAATTAGAATATATGATTAGAGATTATTGGATCAGATTAAAAAACAGAAAGAAATATATTAACAAAATACTTACTTAGCAACAACTAAACCTGATCCTACACGTCCGGACCAAAAGAATCCAGCCTTGACGACCGTAAAAATTGCCAAACCCAAAGCATTTTTGAAAATTTCTTTTGGAATTGCATGTTGATCTGCTCCCTCTTCTTTCTTTGGATCTTAGAAAAGTATCAATATTTGAATTATTAATATATATATATATATTTTAATAAAAAAAAAAAGATATTAAAATTCAAATATTAAATCAAATTGTTAAATAAATTAAATAATAAAATCTAATCTAATCTGTTCACCTGTAAAACTGTTCAAGATTTTTGCGGCTTTATTTACTTCTGAAGCAAAATCAGAAGGTAAAGGATTATTTACGTTATTATTAGCCGCAGTTTGTTGAATTTCTGTGTTAAGTCCTGAGGCTGCTCTCGAAATTTCTCGTGTACCATCTTGAATAGAGGTCTTAATTTTATCAAGTACGCCAGCCATTATTTGGATTAGACTTTTTTTTTTGTAATGGTATAAAAAAAATTAATTAATTGGAAAAAATATTTGTTTTTAATTTTTTTAAGAAAAAAATGGTTCAAATTTATTTCAAAATTATTTCTCACACTACACGTGATGATGAAATATAAATCAACAACTCTTTGTGAAATCAAAAAGTCAAAAATGGGGTATTTCAGCATCATATCAACTGTCAAACATCCTTTTTCAGCATTTAGGCATTACATTTTCACAATGACATAATCTCATTTCCATCTGATTTCTATTACGCCTCTTTTAAATATTTCCAACTTAAAAACTTTAAAAAAAAAATATAAAATAATCTTTATATATTTTGTATTATATTATATATTTCATTCATTTATTCCCTTATTCTTCATATATAGAGTAAAAAGGTATTACGGTTTATTATTAACATATATATTATTACTAATTATTATTATTATTTCTATTATCTCATTTCTTTTTTATTTTTTTTTTTTTCCAAGTACAATAAGTACAATACATAAACTTTTTGAAACTTTTTTAAAATTGGAATAATGCCAGTTCCTTTTGAAGCCCTTCTTCCTTTAGGTAAATTTAGAACCGAATGAACTAAATAAATAAATAAATAATAAATTTTTATTATATAAAATAATTTTTTTATTTATTATTTAAAAAATTTTTTTAATTCTCTTTTTTAATTCTTACAAAAATATATAAATGGATATAATGAATTATTAACAGGTATCGTCACTGCAATGTTCGGAGTAACTGGTACCTTACTTCATGCTTCAAAATCTCATTATCGTCATGAAGGAAAGGTAATTTTAGTATTCCTCGGATTATTTTTTTTTTTTCACGTTATTTTCCTTATGATTTCCTTATATGGGATTCATCAACGCATGCATTTCACGCGATCACTTTAAATTTAAATTTTGAAACGAACGATTTTCCTCATTTCATATATTTAAAAAAATTACTATTATTATCATATAATTATTATTATCATTTATTATAGTAATAATTATTATATTATCATTATTATAATAATAATAATTATATTATCATTATTATAATAATAATTATTATTATTATTGTTATTAGCCTCCAAGATATAATTTAGACAATTGGGATACAGAAATGATGGAACGTGATCGAAGATTAATGGGAAGTCCTCATCGTCAAACAGTTGCGTAATTTTTGATTTATTGATTTATGACATTTGACATTCATGACATCTTTCATTTTTCTCATTTTTATTTATTTTCATTATAAAGTCTGAACCTATTGCACCAAAAGAATTTTCAACAAACAGTGTTTGGTATTTGACAACAAAGAAAATTCTATGGCAATAAAGTTTATTAATGATAAAGCTTAGAATTCATGTGAAAAAAAAAAAAAATTTTTTTATTTTTATTTTTTTTTTTTACCGAAATGAGAAATTAATTTAATTAAATTAATTAAAAACTTTAAAAAAAAAACTAAACAATAAAGTCAACGAGTAACCTTTCCATGTAGATCATATCATTTTTTTTTTTTTTTACATTTATAACAAGAAAAAAAAAACAACTTATCGTAACTTATTATTTTTGACGTGGAATTCTTGAAGTTGTTTTACTTTGAATTCGACTTGGAGGTCCATCTCGCCAGTAATTTGGTTTCCCATCATCTACATAATACTTTTGTGGTTTAGGTGGTGCTTCTAATCCAAATAAATTGGGATCTGCTCTTCTAGCATATTCATAAGCAACTCTCCTTTCACTAAGAACAAATTTAATTCTTGCCATTGATTTTTGTGTCTACATAAATGCATAATGATAAGATAATGCGTAATGATAAGATAATGCGCAATGATAATGCGAAATAATAATTGAACGAAAAAAAAAAAATCATATATTTAGAAAGAAAAAAAACAATTAAAGAAGTTGAGTTATTTTAAAAATAATAATAATAATAAAAACCTTAAATCTTCTATCATCATGTCTTTGTCTCCATTCAGGATTATTTATTCTATTAAAACGTTTCGCTTCTTCCCACATGGTAGCAAGCAAATTTCTTTCTTTAAGTAAAATGTACCAAATTTTATGTAAATCTTCGAATGACTTTCTACGAAGTTCAGAAGCGGTCCATGATCTGCCTTTTTAATTATAATCATCATTATTAATAGTAATAATCGACAAAACATTAATTTATTATGGAGATATTTAGAGGATATTCAAGAAATTGAATATCGAGAATTTTATCAAAGAATTAAAAAAAAAAATTTCCCCCTTGGTAAGGTGAAAATTTTACCTGTAAGCAGGGCTTTTGTCGTTGGCAGAGTTACAGGATTTGTATAACCTCCTTGAAAAAAATCATATAATCCTATAACATAAGGATGTTTGGAAGGAATAAATTTATTATTAAGAGATATGGTTGTAGAATGAAATGAACGATAAAATGAAGAAAATTTCATTTTACATATATTATTATTACATTTTGGTAATGATAATCTTAATTAAAAATGAATTCTTGTGAAACTTTGATAAACAAAAAAATATGATATTAAATACGATACGATTTCCTCAATCATTATCATCGAGAATTATCAATAATGTTTGGAATTCGAAGATATTTTCAAAGTGTTAATGTTCAACGTTCCTTGGCTAGAACGTTCGCCACGGCTAAAACCGAGCTACCGTCTTATAAAGTCGTGGTTATTGGTATGCATTAGAGAAATTTTAATTATATAAACAGGGTTTTTGTTTTTTTTAAACTTTTTTTTTTTTTTTAATAAATTTATATAAATTTTGTATATTTCCGTTTAGGTGGAGGAACTGGTGGTTTGGCTGGTATGAAAAAAAATCCTCGAAAATATTAAAAAAAAATTTTTTTTTTTTTTTTCGTTTATTAACATGTTTCGAATAATTTCTTTCATTTACCAGTATCGTCGACACTTTCCGAAATTCTCGGAAAACATTCGGTAGCCATTATCGAACCTTCAAATGTTCATTACGTATGTAAAATTCAATTCAATTTACTTAATTTATTATTTGACAATTATTGACATTTTTCTTCTTTAACGCGCAAAAAAAAAAATTAAAAAAAAAAAAAATAATAATAAAAAATAATAAGTATCAACCACTTTGGACTTTCGTTGGTGCTGGCATTAAATCACTTTCCGATTCTGCTAAACCTATGGAAGAATTAATTCCTCCAAATGCAGATTGGGTTAAAAATAAAGTTGAAAAGGTTGACCCAGAGACTAATTCCGTCGTTTTACAAGATGGAAGTAAGGTACAAATTATATTCTTTTATATATGTATATATATATATATATATTATTTATTTATTTATTTATTTATTTATTTAATATCTTTCAATCACTTAAAAATAAAAATAATAATATAATAATAATATTATTTTCCGTAGATCAAATATGACTATTTGGTGGTAGCCCCGGGAATTCAAATAAATTGGGATCATATTAAAGGTCTTCCTGAAGCTATTGGTAAAAATGGTGTTTCAAGTAATTATTCGGCAGATACAGTCGAAAAGACATGGGATTTCATTAAAGAATTTAGAGGAGGAAATGCAATTTTTACTATGCCTAGTACGCCAATTAAGGTTTTGAAAATAATTTTTTTTTTTTTTTTTTTATATATAATTTTGATTTTATTTATTTATTAAAAATTTTTTCTAATGTATTTTTAAAAAAATTTAAATTTCAAATTTTTATAGTGTCCTGGTGCAGCTATTAAAATAGCATATTTGGCTGAAGATTATTTTACAAAAAATCGAATTCGTTCTAGGTCCAATGTTATTTATAATTCAGCAATGGGAAAAATATTTGCTATTGATAAGTACGCAGCTAGTTTAAATCGAATTGCCAAAGAACGTAATATTGAGGTCAATCTTTTCACCAATCTCGTTGAAGTTCGAGGAGATAAAAAAGAAGCAGTTTTTAAAGATGGTAAAACCAATGAAGAAAAGGTTTTTAATTATGAATTTTTACATGTGGTTCCACCTATGGGACCTCCACCATTTATAGCTGCTTCAAAGATTGGTAATGCAGCTGGTTGGGTAGATGTTGATCAATATACAATGCAACATTTAAAATATCCTAATATTTTTTCATTGGGAGATGCATCATCTGCTCCAACTTCAAAGACCGCAGCAGCAATTTCACCTCAATCAGGAGTTTTAAAGAAAAATTTATTAGATTTGATGGAGGGTAAATTTGATAAAGGGCAAGCGGCTAGATATGATGGATATGCTAGTTGTCCATTACTTGTTGGTCGTAATAAATTAGTTTTAGCAGAATTTAGTGGATATACTACAAAACCAATGGAAACTTTTCCTTTTGATCAAGGAAAAGAACGAAGTACTATGTATTATCTTACTAAAGAAGTAAGTCAAAATTTATAATAATTATATAATTATATATATTCTAACATTAATTGAAATGATTTAAATTAAATTTATTTTTTATTCTTATTTTAATAGGTTATCCCAGATATTTATTGGAATCGTTTATTGAAAGGTTCTTGGGTTGGTCCAGCTAAAGTTCGACATTGGCTTTCATACATACCATAAATTATAAACTTTAAACTTTTATGTACCATTTATTTATTTATGTACTTTTAACATTATTATTTATTATTATTTTTGGAAAAAAAAAACAAAAATAATTATTTTAATAATTATTCAAAAAATTACACCAAAAGTAATTATAAATTAAGCACCATTATTTTTTTTTATACGGACCAATTAAGGTCTTGTCTTTTATTAATTTACACTTACAAGCTAAAATAAGCATCAATTTTTAATAAATAAATCGAATAAATTAAATAAATCTTCTATTTCATAAAAATAAAAATAAAAATAAAAAATTAAATAATAATAATATTATTATTTATTTATATTATTAATAATAAATATCTCATGTGCCATAATAACGATCTATAAAATGATAAAATGATAAAATTTATTGTTAAAAAGATTTAAAATCACCAAAAGGCAAAGGAAATAAGAAAACGAAGAAAAGAAAAGGTATTTTACCGCCAAAATTTCCCATTCCAGGCTCAATAAATAATGTTTCTTTATTAACTTGTGGATCAACCATTGAAGTGCAGATTTTAACCGTTGGGAAAGCATTATTAAGTACGTGAATCCCTGAAAACGTTGAAAATGTGGAAAGTCAATATTTTCATTTATTGTCTAATTTAATTTTTTTTTTTTCTTAGATAATTACCTAATGGAGTTGCGAGGAACGTTAAAAAGATGATGCGATTCTACAAATTAAAGAAATTAAAGAAATTAAAGACACTTAAAAAATTAAGAAAATTAAGAAAATTAAAGAAATTAAATGATTAAGGAAAAATTCAAAAATCTATAATATAAATAAAATTCAAACCTCAGGAACGTTATGGTCAAGTAAAACGCGTATAGCCATCAATGCTGAAGCACCAGTCGATATTTGAGCATCCTATTTTTATACAAATAGAAATTATAGAAATTATAGAAATTATAGATAAATAATAATAATAACAATAATATAGAAATTAGAAATTTATTGATAAATAATAATAATAATAATAATAATAATAATAATTACCATAAGCAAAACATAGCATTTGCTTATGTTTTCTGGGAGACTTGTGAAATGTAACTAAAAAAAAATAAATAAAAAAAATAGAAAAGATGAAAATGTTAATACGATAACAATTTTCATATTTGCATAAAAAATAATAAAATACTTACTGATGGTTCACCAGTTTCTAAATCGGTTTGAATTAATATTTTACCAATCGATACATCCTTGACAGCTCTTCGAAGACCGGCCTCCATTGTTCCCCCTGCGCGAACAATAGAAACACCACAGATCTATTATATTATAATTATTTTCAAAAAAAAAAAAAATGTATCAATAACGTATATAATAATTGATTAATGTGATTAAATAAAATTATTACCTTATCTCCAAATTTCTTACCAACATAAGGTAAATTAAGTGGGGTCATAATTTTATGTACTTTATATTCAACTTCGGATAGACCTCTAAAATTTTTTTTTTTTTTTTTTTGAAAAAACATTCGATTTTACGAGGCCAAGTAAAAAATTGTTGGGAAAAAAAAAATAATAACTTAACTGTTCAACGACTAAGGTTGCAAGGCGATCAGCATAAAATATAAAATCATCACGTAGAGCATTTCGATCCCTAATAATTGTGTGCATTCCCTATTGTATATTAAATTATATAAAATCCTTTTTTTAAAAAAAAAAAAATTTTTAAAAATTACAAATTATAATATTATTAAATAATGTTAAAATTTAAAAATGAATACTTTTAATTGAGGAGTTTGTTTGAGAATTATCACATTATTGGGTAATTCTTCACCACAAACAATTTTTGGTAAATCCCATCGAAAATTAAAACGAAATTCACTAAGTTGACGTTGAATGTGTTTGGTAATTAAATCAATTGCTACTAAATTATCAAGTCCACGGGGAACGATCTATAAAAAAAAATAAAAAAAAATAAGTAATTTACATTCATATAACAATAATTAAACAAGAACGAAAGAAAAGTGAAAAGTAAAAGAAGAATAACAAACCACATCAGCATTCTTAACTGTAGGTTGTATATATTGATCGAAAGATGGCTTGACGAAACTTAGATATTGCTATTTTTGTCAACAATTAAAATATTAACAAACCGTTTAAACAAAAAAAATTAACTAAATATTAAAAAAAAAAAAAAGTCATTACTTGCAGAACACCATTTATATCACGACCTCGTTCGCTAATATCCCTTTTCACTATCAAATTTTTATCAACTTTATCAATATATTTTTTTTAACGATGTTTATGTTAAGTAAAATCAAATAAATAACGTACAACGACGTGCGAGTCGAATATCTGCATCAGTATCTACAAAAATCTAAATCAAAAAAAAAAAAAAAATAGAATAAAAATAGAAGAATAATATTATAATCAATAAAAATGATAATCATAATAATTAAAATAATTTAATGAAACCTTCATATCCAGCAATTCCAAAATTCTTCTATCATAAAGTGCAAAAATTCCTTCAAATATAATGACATTTGCACCATAAAGAGGAGTTGTCTGTGGAAGCCTTTCATTAAACCATTCCAAATCGATAATAATAATATATTATTAATAAATAACAAAAAATGAAATAATATTTCTTTTCTTTCTTTACCTAGAATGAGTTTTAAAATCATATACTGGAATTTCAACTCTCTTTCTGTGAAATAATATAATTTTAAATTACAATTATAAAATAATCTAAATACAATATCTCTTTTTAATAATATTATTATATTAAACTTGTTTTTACCCTTCTTTCAAATCTTTCAGGTTTTCAAGTAATAAATCAAAATCAAAAGCATTGGGATGATCAAAATTGTGATTGCTTTTAATATTATAAATATAAATAAATAAATAAATATATATATATATAAATAAAAATAATAATAATAAAGATTATTAAATGAAATTAAAAAAAAAAAATAATAATAATTGTTATACTTATTGAATGCCTCTTTTTTTTGTTCAAGTGTTAATGGTTTATAAAAAGAATCCATGCTAAGAAATCCCACCCATGGTACATTTAGATTTTCAATTATACGTCTATTTCAATAAATAATAATAAAATTAAATAAAATACTTTAATTTCCTTAAACTTTAAACATATATATATATATAAAATAATAATAATTAAAATATTTTATATAATTCCAAATATACCTGGAAACACTAGTTTTTCCACTAGCAGTTCCTCCTGAAAAAAGATTTGCATCAATTACAAAAAAAACAAAAATTTATAGAAAATTAATAAAAAAAATTTACAAGAAATATCTTGGACTATTGTTTCCTATATTTTATTCACCTGCTACTCCAACCAGATAACAAGTAAATTTTGTACCATCTGGTCTACAAAAATAAATTTATTTATTTTCACCCATCAAAAGACATAATATATACATTTAATAATATCAAGTTTTTTTTAATACCTATACCAAGGACTAAAGTAAATATATAATAAAAAGAAAAATTAGCAACATACGTACAAAACATGCAATAATACGAATATATTTATATATTTATATTTATATATACTACTTACGATCTTCCTTCTTTCGTTAAAATAGTCTTTCTCTTTTCTTTAACCATTTTTTGATTAAACTTTTAATTACCTTAATTAAATAAAAATGTCAATTGATCCATCAATTTTCAATACATTTAAAGATCTGTACACAATCTTATCTATATGTATATAACATTTGTTATAATAATAAATAATAATAATCAAAGATGAAAGGAAAGAATGAAAAGAAGAAGCAGAATAATAATAAATCTTTAATTCCTAATGATGATTCCTTGGTCACAGTGGATCCTAGGTTCGAACATGTACGAAAAGACCCACGATTTGGTCGTCCACAAAAAAAGGATACAAAAATTAAATTAGATAGTAGATTTGCACAAATGCTGAAGAATGAAGATTTCACCGAAACGCGTAAATATTTATGCGAACCTTTTTTTTTAAAATCTTATTGATTAATCAAAAGAAGAATTTTATGATTAAAGTATATATATATATATATATTTAAGTTAAGGTTGATAAGTATGGACGACCAACTTCGTCAAAGTCTACGAAAGAATTAGAAAGCCTTTATATATTAGATCATAAAGAAAAAGAAATAAATAATGAACAAGACGTATCACCACAAATTAGCGTAAATTCTTCAGATTCAGATACAGATAATGAAATAAACTTTGACCCTGCTAGAGGAGAAGGAATAATATCATCATCATCTGAAGACGAAAACGAAGACGAAGATGAAGATGAAAATTATAATAATGAAAATACAAAAATACGACAAGATGATAACGAGATAGAAATTTATCCTGAGGAAGAAATTCCACATGGTGAAGAAACTCATCGATTCGCAGTCTTAAATCTCGATTGGGATAATGTAAATGCTGTAGATTTAATGAAATTATTTTGTGGTTTCAAACTGGAAGGATCAATAATAAAATCTGTTAGAATTTATCCATCTCAATTTGGAAAAGAGAGATTAGAAAAGGTTTCATTTTTATTATTATTATTATAATTATTATTTATTATTATTATTATTATTATTTATTTTATCAAAATAATTCAAAATAATAATAATAATAGAAATCATTAAAACTAAGAACTATTATGATTTTTATAGGAAAGTAGAGAAGGGCCACCAAAGGAAATATTTAATGATTCTTTTTCGAAAAATGAAAATGAAGAAGATGATGATGATGGTGATTCAGATGGAGACGAAGAAGAAATAAATCCAAAAAGGATTTTCGAAAATAGCACAAGCGAAGAGTTTGATCAAGACTTATTGAGAAAATATCAATTGGAACGATTAAGGTATTAAATTTATAAAAAAATTTTTAATTTTCAAATTTAATTTAATTTTTTTTTTTTTTTTTAATTTATCATAGATATTATTATGCAGTAGTAGATTGTGACACTGTGGAAAACGCGCGACAAATTTATAATCAATGTGATGGAGCAGAATTTGAATGTAGTGCGAATTTTCTTGATCTACGCTTTATTCCAGATGACACAGAGTTTGATAATGAAGAAATAAGGTTTACATTTTTTTTATATATCTCCAATTATATCATAAAACTTTTTGTATTAAAGATTTATATAATATTATCATATAGGGATGAATGTCAACATGAACCGGAAGTATATAAACCTGTGAATTACGTTACAGATGTAAATATATAATAATATGTATTCAATCTTTTTCAATCTTTCCAATCTTTCCAATCTTCGAGGAAATTAAATATTTATAATATTTATTTTTATTTATATATATATATTATATATATATATATAAAAGGCATTAAACCATTCAAATGTTAAATTAACGTGGGATAACGATGATCCCTACCGTGTAAAACTTACGAAACAAAGTTTTAAAAAAAAAGATCTTGATGTTATGGATTTCAAAGCGTACCTTGCTTCATCCAGTGACGAAGATTCAGGAAGTGATATAGAAGTTTCGCGTCAAAAATATAAAGATCTTTTAAATAAAGTAGAATCTAATGATCAATCGGATGTAAATCAAGAAATGGAAATAACATTTACTCCTGGTATAAGAGAATCCATGGAAAAGGAGGAAGAAGAAGAAGAACAAGTAAATGAATTTTTATTATATTATATTTTATTATTATTTATAATAATTTCCTTTGTTGATATTATTCATTCATTTATTTATTCATTCATTTATTTATTTATTTATTTTAAATAGTCAATTAAGAATGAAACTACCATCGAATCATATATGCGTAAACAACGTGAAAAAAAGAAAGTGAAAGAAGTAGCGAGACAAAATAAAAAAATGAAAGATATGAAAGATATTGATATTGGTGATGATGATGATGATGATGATGATGACGAAACCAATGTTAATATCGATGATCCCTTTTTTTCAAATTCAAAGTCATCAGAATCCAAAAGCAAAAGCAAAAAAACTTTTAATAAGTCCAATAAGACCAATAAGATCACTTCACGGAAAGAAGAAGAAAGACAAAGAGCGGAATTGGAACTTCTTGTTAGTGATAATGATGAATATAATGATGGACATAAACATTTCGATATGAAAGAAATTATCAAAAATGAGAAAAAGACAAAGAAAAAGAAGAGAAATATCAAAAATAACAAAAATGATCAAAAAGACACGTTTAAAATAAATGTAGATGACCCTCGTTTTGCAGCGTTACATAAGTCACATCATTTTGCGATCGACCCTTCCAATCCTCAGTACGCTTATTATTCTTATTTCTTTGATAATTTCGTTGGTTAAATAATTTACAACATTAATAATTTATTAATAATTTCGTTACCAATTTCGTTAAACAATTTCGTTAAACAATTTCGTTAATATAGTTTTAAGAAAACAGAAGCTATGACAAAATTATTGGAAGAAAGTCAACGACGGCAATCTGAAACGAATAAAAAGAAAGAGAAAAATATAGTTAATATTCAAGAGGTATTATTAATATTTTAATAATTAATCAAGTATAAATAGTATGAATTCAATTTATTTTATTTTATTTTATTTATTTAAATGATCACTTTTTTTTTCACTTTTAGGAATATAATAATTTTGAAAGTCCATTCAAAGACCCTTCATTATCATCATTGGTGAATTCGGTATGGGATTTTTTAATGAATATTAATGATTTATGAAAAAAATAAAATTCATGTTTAAATAATCAATTATTTATTTTCAATTTGATATAATAATAGATTAAAAGAAAAAGTTCCCTAATGACACAAAAAAATGAGAAAAATGGAAAACGTAAAAAAATTTAAATTTTGGATTTTTCCCCATATCCCGATTTCTAGAAGAAAGATAATTTAATAATTAAAATTATTAAAATTATTATTATTATTATTATTTTATTTTTGAAATTGTATAATAAGTATAATAAATAATTAAATAAATATTTGTTGAATGATATTTAATGTCACACATTATCCAACCGATACGGTTTCACTTCATTTTCACGTTCAGGATCTCTCCAAATTTCTTCGAGTGATTCATGCTTATCATGTCTAAATACAGTAGATGTTACGTTTTCTTCAAATTTATTATTATCATGATGATGATGTGGTTGATGTGGTTGATGTTGCTGTCGTCGTTGTTGTTGTTGTGGTTGTTGTTGTTGTCGCTGTTGTTGTTGTTGTGCTGGTTGTCGAATTTTTTCCATTACATTGGTCTTTTTTAAAGGTTTACGTAAAAGAGGTTTTAAGACGCGTTCAAAAATTAATGAAGCACCTCTAGAACGATCACTTTGTGCCCAATATAAAAATACCAATTTTAAAAAATTATAACCAGGAATGAATTCAAGTAACCAACTAGACCAATGATCAGCAACCTGAAGCCAACCATAAATAACCCAATAAGTTAACCATTGCTTTTGTTCGGATTTTATTAAATCAAAATTTTCTTTGTTATTAATCTTATTATCATCATCATCATTATCATCATCATAATTATTATTATTAATTGCTTTTATAGAATGATAAGTAGGATAAACTACTCCCAATAAATTACAAAGAAGAGATATGGAAGTTTTATACATATGTCTTACGGTTAGAAATGAAATTAATATTAAAGTAAAAATTACATAAGGAGGAGGAATTCCAAGTTCTACAATTTTTGAAAACAACCAAATTTTTGAACAACGGAATTCTATTGTTGATACGCGGGTAACTATTTCTTGTCTAATAAGCTGGGTCACCGGAGAAAGATTGAGAGGACTACTTGTCTCAATGTATAACAAAATTTGTTCCAGAAAAGCAGTCGTTGGAAGTTTTCGAAGGTCCAGTTTCTGGTCCGTTATATTTTCACCAGATTTAATTGAGTCCAGGGCCATCTCTAAAATTAACGAACCAGGAGAAATATGAAAAAAAAAATACAGAAATAAGAGAGAGAAATATTGATAAGAAGTTCTCGATTTGTTTATTAAGAAAAATGTGAAAAATGATATGCACATTTGACACATGGTCATACAATGTACAATGTATGTATAGTAGATAGATAGTCGCGTTCATTCATTTGACATTTTTAGAAATATAATAAAAAAAACGCGAAAAATGTCTTTACAAAGCGAAAACGAGGGTATTATTTCAATGACATTTTTTTGATATAAATTCCAAATTTTGTAAATTAAATATATTTTTTTGTAAATTAACTTTATTTAAAGCTCAAACTTCTTTAATGGAAGAAATGAAAGAAATGGAAGAAATGGAAGAATTGAAAGAATTGAAAGAAATGGAAGAATTGAAAGAAATGGAAGAATTGAAAGAAATGGAAGAATTGAAAGAAATGGAAGAAATTAAAGAAATAGAAGAAATTAAAGAAATTAAAGAAATGGAGGAAATGAAGGAAATGGAAGAAATGGAAGATATCGAGGATACCGAAAAAAACGCTAAGGAAGAACTGGAAGCTGATTTTTGGAGGAATCCTTCCCGTACTATTTTGCAAGCAAGGTTCGTCTACAAAAGACAATTAAAGGTCTTAGGGAACGAATAATTGATATTTTTTGACTCCTTTTTTAAAATGTTTCAGTCAAGATTTTATACCGGATACATCGGAACTTTTGCGTTTTTTTTATACAAAACTTTTTCCATATAAAATTTATGCGGAATGGTTAAATTATAGTAAAGGTGAGATTAATATAATCAATGTTAATAATGTTAATATATTATTTTTTTAATTTTTTTTTTAAATTTAAATTTATTTTTGTAGAAATTGATAAAAAGTTCATAAATCGAGAATTTAGTTTTCAGTTATCCAACGAAGCAGTAATTCGACATTTATCATTCAATAATTCAGATGAATTAAAAGCAGAAATTATTAAGCAATGTCCATTAAAAATTGATGTGGGAGCAGTTTATTCAGCGAAAGTAAGTAATTAATAATTTAGGTGGTATTGAAGGTAGAATGTGGTAATAATTTTTTAAATTTATTTTTGTTTAGCCAAAAGATAAAAGATCTTTACGACCATCCGCATTTAAACCTGTTGAAAAAGAATTAGTTTTTGATATTGATATGACAGATTATGATGATATTCGTACATGCTGCAAGTAATTATATTCATTTTATTTATTATTTATTATTATTTTTATTATTTATTTTTATTATTTATTTTTATTTTTATTATTTATTTTTATTTTTATTATTATTTTATATTATTTTTGGTTTGTTTGTTTTTAGAGGTGGAGATATTTGTCTTAAATGTTGGCAATTTATGACTGTCGCTATAAAGATACTTGATGTTGCTCTCAGAGGTAATTAATTATTAATGAAATAATTGATTATTTAAAATATTTTAAATTATTTTTTAAATTATTGAAAATATAAAATTATGTAGAGGATTTTGGATTTAAACATTTACTTTGGATATATTCTGGTCGACGTGGAGTTCATTGTTGGATTTGTGATGAACGTGCTCGTAAATTGAATAATGATGAAAGGAAAGCAATTGTAGCGTATCTGGAAGTTATAAAGGTAAGTTATTATGAATTTCGTGATGAATTTTTATTTTATTTTATTTTTTTACATGATTTTCATTATTGTTTTTTTTTTTTTTTTTTAATATGATAGGGTGGTTCCCAACAACATAAAAAAGTTTATTTATATAAGAATATGCATTCATCATTAAAGTTTGTACCCTATTATTCGAAAGAAAGAAAGAATAAATTTATATATTACATTCATTCATTTTGACGTTAACAAATTGTACAAATTGTTCATAATTATAGACGATCTTTGGAAATTATTGAGAATTATTTTGAACAGATAATTTTGGAAGATCAAGATGTGCTTAATGATGAACAAAATTGGACAAAAGTTTTAAATTGTATTCCAGATGAAGGTCAGTCTGTCAGTTTTTTAATTTAGTTAATCATATTTTTTTTAATGCATTGGAATTTATTTATTTTAGGTTTAATTTTTAGGTTTAAGGAAAGAATTAAATAGGAAATGGTTACGGTTACCATCAAAACCTTCTATTGATAAATGGCATGATTTGGAATATGAAATTTCAATTTCACTTAAAAATAAGAAGGTAAACTCATTATTATTTATTATTATTATTATTATTTATTATTATTATTATTATTATTAACGAACGTTTTGTTTTATTTATTTCTTGAATTTATTATTGTTTTTATTTTTTTTTTCTTGAATTGATAAATAAATTAGAATCAATGGAGATTAGATCAATGTATATCGGAAATCAAGTTTCAATACCTTTACCCAAGATTAGATGATAAAGTGACAACACAAATAAATCACTTGTTAAAAAGTCCATTCTGCGTTCATCCGAAAACTGGTATATAGAAATATGAAATATTTTTATCGATTCATAAATGTAAAGATTGATTGATATATAATAATAATTATTATTATTGTTGTTTGATAAAGAAAGAGTCTGTGTACCAATATCACCAGACAATTGTGAAAATTTCGACCCATTAAAAGTACCCACACTTACTACTTTATACCGTCAATTGAATGAAACCAATAATACCACCAATGATAAAAGTGGAATGAAAAGAATTCATCATGGTATATTTAATAAACATATTTTAATATTAATTAAAGTTTTAATATTATTATTATTATTAATATTAAATAATAACTTTAAAAGAATATGAAAAATGTTCTCTCAAATCATACATGAAATACTTTGAGAATTTTGTTGAAGGAATTATGAAAGAAATTCGTAAAAAAAATCGAGGCAAGAATATTCATTCATTCATTTAATAATTTTTAATTTATTTCCCAAATTTTTTTCATTTTCTCATTCTTTTTTTTCATATCCTTTACAGAAGCAAGTGAAATGTCTATGGAATTTTGATGGAATTTTCATTTCTTTTATTAATTTCAAATTACATCAAAAGTGTAATATTAAAATTAGCATAGAAACATAATTTTAATGTAAATAAACCTGTAAATGAAGAAAGTAAATGTAATCAAATTACAACAAAATAGTAATAAAATTATAGAATATGAATTGGTGACATCAATATTCTTATCTAACAATGATGAAAATGTTATTCTAAATATAAAAAAAATGTTAACACAAGAGATCTGTTCATCTAAACGCTATGTACGGCCACCACTCTCGCGAGCTATGAGACACGAAAAACAATAATTACGACATCATTCACTAATTGCGAATCATATCATAATCATTCTAGAGGCAGTGTAACTTAGATCGCTACATTCTCGGTGTCGTCATCATTATCGTCGTTCATTATGTTCATTACGTTCAACAGAAAAATTTTAAAACGTAACAACTTGTTTTTTCTAAACGATCGACATTATGGCACATCCCTAATTAATTAGAAACCCCTAACTTTGAATTTCTTTTTCAGTTAAAATATAATTATTTTCTTTAAAAAATAATAATTATAATTCATTTGATTTCTATTTATTGAGATTTTTTTACCTATATAATTTATCTTATTTAATAAATGCTAAATAAAACTATATAATATCATAATAATATTTATATATTTTCATTATACTATAATGTACTGAAAATTATATCAAAATGAAATATAATTTGTATTAAAAATCTCAATATACAAAAAATTGCCAAAATTTGCCCAAAATGCCTCAAGATTGATTTATGATATTATAGTTGAAAAAAGTCTGCATTATAGCAGTGGAATGTACAAGAATATTTTTTTTCCCACCACCATTATGACATATCCTTTTATTTTATATGTGTCATCTTCGATTCCAATTTGTAAGTTCCATATGCCAGGATTATATCCTTTGGCCTTTCCTGTCTGCATATACTGTATGTATTAATTTGTACTTTAGCATGTTCAAAAATC